TGTTGGTTGTTGTTTGTTGGTTGTTGGTTGTTGGTTGTTGTTGTTGTTGTTGCTGCTGCTGCTGTTGTTGTTGTTCTTGTTGTTCTTGTTGGTGGTGCTAGTGCCGCTGCCGCTGCTGCTGCTTCTGCTACTACTGCTGCTGCTGCTGCTGCTGCGGCTGCTGCTGCTGCTGCTGCTGCTGCTGCTTGTGCTTGTTCCAATTCCCTCCAGACGTATTTTGGCTGCGCGCAGCCAATACGTCCCGTTTCCCTCAGTATTTACAGTGTTTCCTTCGGGTCGCATGCCGGATACACCGGCGGGTGCAGTGTTTTCGGCACTTGGCACATCCCGTTTCCCTCGCTATTTACGTTGTTTCCTTTGGGTCGCATGCCGAATTCACCGGTGGGTACAATGTTGTCGGCAATTGCTAAAACTCAAAGCGCGCACATGCCACGAGAGAGCATCCATGTCGGAGCCGTAACAACGTCCACCCCGGACCCCCTCCGTTCACGCAGAGCATCCATGCCGGAACGGCAATATCGTCCACCTCGACCCCATCCGTTCACGCAAAGCATCCATGCCGGAACCGTAATAACTTGTGGCATGCGATCCGTCTCACTACTGCGATGTGAAGCATGATGCGCAATGGTTGTTTTGACAGACCGACGCGTGGAAGGGGCTGCGAATTTGGAAAACAGTTGCAACTTTTGCAGGCCGTCGGAGTGTCGTGCAAGCACGAATCACTCGGCAGGGACGACGTTTTCAGCATTCCTTCTTGGCTTGGCGCGCGCAACCAATACGTCTGGCACGTGGTTGTTGGTGCTGTTGCAGCAGCAGTAGCTGTGGCCGTAGCAGCGGCAGCAGCAGCGTGGCCACAGCCTGCCTGGCGGTGGTGGTGTTCCGGCCCTGCAAAGTCTTTTTGGTTGTTCTGCCGTGTACCCTGTTAACAGTCCGGTTTGCCAACATCCAGACTATGACGAAGCATTCAGATGCAGTCATAAAGCCCGGTGTGCTCTTCAATCGAAATCTAGCGCTCATCCGCTGTGCCCAGGCTGTGCGGGCGTTGGTGGACTTGATGAGGCCGCAAGTTTCGAAAACGTTGCAACGTGGTCGGTGTTGCTGTGGACAGGATCCCCGCCTCTTGCCAGACTTTCCAGGCAGAGTCTAGCCACATGCGGCTTGCTGAATTAGCTTAGTGAGATGAACGGTGGGCCTAGCCCCCTACCGGGACGACAACGCTTACGACTTACGATTTACTATTGCTGCTGCAGCTCCTCCGCCTCCTCCGCCCAACCCCCACTACCACCACGACCACCACCACTGCCACTGCCACCACCACCACCACAACTACTTCACTACAGCCGCCACTACTGCTGCTGCTGCTGCGGCTGCTGCTGCTGCTACTACTACTACTACTACTACCAGACTACCACCACCACCACCACCACCACCACGACTACTACTACCACTACTACTACTACTACTCTTACTACTACTACTACTACTACTGCTACTACTACTGCTGCTACTACGACGACGACGACTACTACTACTACTGCCACCACCACGACGACTGCTGCTACTACTCGCCATAATTTCGGTCCCCTTAACACGTTGTAGAGTCCTTGCACTCTGACTTCTTTAGTCCTTGCTGAAATGATATGTTAACATGTGAAACGAATTTTTTGCTTTCTGTGTAAGAATGATCATCCATCCGTTTATATCCCACATATCCTTTGGACCCCTGCTTGGAACTGTTGGGGTGTTGTCCCCGTCGTCCTTCTTGTCGAAGTACTTTTGGACTCAGGTTGCGGTCTCCACCCCGCCAAGCGCTGCCGGGCTACCGCTTGCTCCCCCGACCCCCAGGGTGGCAACAGCCGTCGATCGTGCTTCTGGGCATTCTGGCCGGTGATGCCGTGATCTCCAGGACCAATGCCAGCCCACACAAAATCCAAGGCAAAAGAAATCCAAGCATGGCCTGGTGGCTCCAAGCCAGTACTGGTGACAAAGTGACAACTTTTCTGCCACGATGCCAGTCCACACAGCTCGTAACCAGAAGCGACAAGCGCTTGTCGAGAGCGGCTCGGCCAGCGGCCACAGTAGAAACCGTCGGTTGGCATTCTGCCACATCACTTGGCTCTTGGGTAGACCTGAATGGCAGGTCACTGCAGCACTGAGGGACTCACGTGGTCCGACTCTGACAGGCCCTCCGTGCTTCAACGTTGCATGCGGGTAGTTCTGGGCGGAAAGGTGAGACAACAACCTCGGTGTGGGCCCTGTCCTGGAAAGTCCTGTGCGAGGCTAAGTCTCGTGGCACACCATTAGGGAGTCCCATCTTTGCGACGTTGCACGCTGGAAATTCGAGGTGGGGCATGGTCAGCTTCTGCCTTTCTCGCGAAGTTCCGGTGACCCAAGCTCGGCTTAACGTGCCTGCATAAAGCCGTTATTTTTCTTTCCAGTAGCGACGAAAGTTGAAGCGATTGCAGGAGCTGGTTGTCGAGGCGTTGCGTCCCAAGAGCTGTTGCACGGCGGTTCCGGACATCTTTTTGTGGAACGTTGCGACTTGCTCGTCCTGCCATTAAGCCGAGATGGTGCAAAAGCGTACTGTTCAGCACAGATGCAGATCTCCGCTTTGAAGCTGTTAAAACTTGTTTTGCTTGCATTTTGGCCAATGGTTAACATCTTGTCAGCGGAGCTAGCAGCTAGCGGTTGTGCACCCGTGGTTTCCTTATCTCCAAGTGCCCGAGGTTCACTTCTTCGCTCAGCGCTTTGCGGTCAAGACCTTGGCTGCAATCGGTGATTCACCTGCAGCCTGACATAGCAGCTTGCAGAGATTAATTACAGTACTAGCTGACAGGTTCTCACATGGCCAGATGTTCACCACCGCCGCAGTCCGAACATGCCTTTTGATGTTTCGGACATTTTCTGGCTGTGGTATGATGAATAAGCCGCTCGGCGAATGCAAGGCTCAGCATCTGATATTGCTGCAGCTCTCCTGTGTCTTGGTTACCGCACCGTCAGGCCCATGGGCAATGCTCGATAAGTCTTCAGTCACATCAGTCCAGCTGTGTAGGCGCTGATCTCCTGCCCAAGGTCTTTCTATTTGCTCTCCACCCCATGGGAGGCGCCGGCAGAGCCGGGCATGGCATGGGCATCGCCTTGTCTGAGCCGCTGCAGGTCGAAGCCGAGGACACAGGCGCCCAGTAGTGATCCCTTCCGACATCGCGTTTTGGCGCAGATCCCCCAAAAAGGTGCGAATGGCAGTCAAGAGCAGAGCAGCCAGAAGTGGCTTTCGGAGCTCTTGTGCGAGGCGCCTGTGTACCTTCAAGCTTTTAAACCGTCACACCACTGCACCCGCCACCAGGTTCCGCTAGGCATGGGAGAATCTGACCGAGAAGTGTTTGAGTTTGTTGAGGCGAGGCCGGCGCATTGGCGACATTTGGCGACAACATTGACTGCTGTTTGAACCCAATGCGAGGCCAGTTCATCTGCACTGTGGGCACGTGACCGGCAACAAGGCACGAGATGCCATTGCGAAACTGCTATCACTGCTTCCAATGGTTGCTTGTCCCTTACAACTGCGCGTCGAAGCTATATATTTGGCACAAGCCTTCGTTGCACGGGGCTCCTTCCGCGCAGGCCATGGGCCACCTGTCCTGGCTCATTGTTGCATTTTTCTCATCGCCAGGCCTCATGGACGGCCAGCACAAGCACGATGCACTTCAGGACCGGGATGGCCGGGCAGACGGATGTGTCAACAGCTTTCGGGGCGCGAGGCAGGAGAGCTTGGGAGTCAGAGTGTTTTGGCAACAGGCGCTGCGGTTCTGTCAAGCTTCCATGGCAGACCTCACTGCTCAAGCTGCATATCCTTCCTCTGCGGCGCTGCCGGCGGATTCTCCAGTCCAAGCTCACACGATCGAGGAATTTCAATCTCATCTCCATCCGGAACCTCATTGGAAGCAATCGTCCAGGGCAGTAACGTCCTTTTTCTCCTCACCAGAGAGTGCGGTGGAAGGTTTACTCCGCCCAGACTGTCAGTAGTCGTGCAAATGCTGATCTGTGGTCTCACGTGTATCTGTACATCGTATCTATTGACATGTCTAGATCCTCGCAGTTCGTATCGCGTTTCCCGTGCGCGTTTCCGACTAGTGACTAGTGACTAATCCATGTCACGTTTCCCTCCGATTTCTGGATTCTCCGAAGTCTGAGAATCCGGCTGTTGCGAAAAGTCACAGAAGGCATGCGAGTTCACAGGAATGTCATTTGAGACCCTGCCAAGCGACTGACTCGCTCAGCAATGCAGGAGGCAAAACAAGCCTTCGTGGGGAAAACTGAGTTTGACTTCGGCTGCAAATCTTGACGGTGATTTTTCAATGGAAACGGCTTTTAAAGCATCCAGACAAATTTCATCGCCCGTTCTGGAAAACATCCTCAGTTTTGGATGTTCGTGTTGCGGGTATTTCTCGCAGCAGAGTTCCCCGATGGAGCTTTGGGAGGATATTTGGAAAGTTTAGAGGCTGCTTGGTGGAAGTGAGTATTTCTCGTAATGGGAAGAGGCCGCCGCCACGTGGTTCCCTGTAACAGCCTGGGGACAGCCTTTGGTAACAGAAACTGCCTGCCTGTCTGTCATCTTGTGCTGCATATGAGAAACACGCATAAGATCGGTTGTGTATACTCGCCGAGTATCAGCACACGCATGTCGTGTGTGTATGTTTGTGTGTGTGCGCGTGTCCCAATGCATTGATATCTTTATCTAGTTGCATCTACTTCAGGCCTACCCGTAAGGACTGGTTTTCGGTCCCTGACTTCGCGTCAAAGCCTCCGGCCCACGCCTTGCTGCTTTCCGATGGCACTTTCTGTTCCGACGTCGTTCGTGTTACCCTGGTCGGTTTCCGTTGCTGCCTAAAGCGGTTCCCGTTACTCTCCGCACACGGTGGAAGTTTGCCCGGGCGGCAAATTGGCGAAGGGACAAGGTTCGAAGCCAAACTTAAATATCTCAGCTCTCCTCTCGAAGTCAGAATTCTGACTTCTTTGGTCGGTGGATCCTGCGGCTTTATATGTCCCATCGAAATTTTACTCTCTGGCACAGCTCCATCCTGCACCTGGACAGCTCCAAGAATATTTCGAATCACTCAGTGCAACTGGCTTCGTGCAGGAGTTTTCGGTGGTATACACCAGCCGAGTGCGGCACTCGGAATGCAAACTCCTCTTCTGCGTTGTCAATGCGCCGAGAAAGCATGATTCATCATGATTCGATGATGGCCCCGCCGATGCCAGACACTTACACGTGCATGCCACGAGCTGTAGGCTCTGAACCACATGTCGACAAAGTTTCAGAAGGCCAGGCACTTGGCGATAGCTGGGCGGCTTTCGCGCACATACATTGCGATTACATCACTGCCGAAACAGGTGATGCGAGACGTCTCCACCACTCTCAAGACTGTCTACAATGCACACTCGGCCATTCTGCTACCCGGCTCGGGGACATTCGCAATGGAGGTCCGCTGCCTTCATTTTCAAGCACATGCACAGAGCGTTGCGCAACTTGCTAAATCGTGGATCAGACCGGTTGGATTTTGAACATAGCTTAGGCTTCAGCCTTGAGTTTCGGTTTCGGGCCTGCATGTACCAAGCTGCTATACGGTATACGATAGATGCCACCGCCAGGCAGTCGCCCGTCATTTTGGAACCAAGCGCAAGTGCCTGGTTATTCGCAACGGATACTTTTCATATCGATGGTCACAAATCTTTGAAGCCGGATCTTTACCCGTGATCTTGGCTGCAAGCAGGTTATGCATTGTCACAGTTTTGCAAAGACTAAAGTGACTAAAGTCCGTGAGGCAACGGAGAGGGTGCTCAAGGCCCGGCCGGTGGACCCAGCGTCAATGGGCAGTTCTCCTTCGTACGCGCCGCCCCTTCTTCATGAAGTACTCTCTGTCATCGAAGAGGAGCGTCGTTTGCCGAAATATTTGTTTGTCACAAGTACAGGATAGCACAGGGCCGCATCGAACATTCACTTTCGGTCAATAGCAAGGGAAGTGCTGACTCAGGTCCGGACACAGTATTTGCACCGCATGTGGAGACATCAGCTGGTATCATGCTGCCAGCGGCTGTGCGGCAGATTATTGGTGGACATCATTGGCTAGCCTCTTGCAATCTGAGTCAGGGACATCTGCTTGTTTCGTTGGTGTGGTCATCAGGACGAGTATATACAGGCCATATCAGAAGCGGTACACAACATCGGGGGATTTCTTGTTCTGGCAGCTCAACTGATCAATTGCAAGATTGCACCTGCAAGTCGTTCTGTGAGTTCGTCCGACCGACGGCGAGAAAGGACGGAAGTGCCGCCAGCTTAGGACTGCATCGCATCTGGATGCATCTGGGAGCCTTGCACGCAGTGGTGAGGAGGGCGTGCATAGTATGCCAGCAGGCTAGGTCGTGATGGATGACGAAATTCGTAAGGTTGACATGCAGAAGCTTGGTGTGGACGTGCTGATAAATGCGCCACAGAAGGGCTGGTCAGGTCCGGCATCGTCGGGGAACTTCAACAGCAGATTCAGTGCCGTGTTGCGTGGACATTACGAAAATGTGCTTGTATATATCACGCGCTGCTCTTGGTTTGTCAGCCGGGTTGTGTACAGAGTTGTCGATACTGCTGGTGTGGTAATTTTCTTTGCGCAGATGTGGGCCAATTGACACGACGCTGTCTGAATGGGTCTAGGCAACAGCAAAATTGCCAATGCTTGATCATGTGCTGTGGCAACGAAGTGACTGGTCTTGAGCCTGCGTGACTGACTTGTTTGGGAAATGCGTTGGATGTCTTTCGCGAGTAAGTTTGTTTCGGATGGTTAATTAAATAGATGCAGACAAGATGCGCAGCATTGACGCATGTTTGCGGGCGTGTACGCGTGGTGAATCATTCTTTGCTAGTCCCTTTGCACTGTCCTGTCGAGTCTGTATCGTGTCCGCTTCTTTCCCTTTCCGATCCTGTTTACTTTTGTCTGGCTCTGACTCTCTCTGTCTCGCCCTCTCCCTCCATCGAAATGAGGCACGGCAGCTTGATGTTGATGCTGCATATGGTACAGGATACACTTGAATCTCCGATGATCTTGCATGCATCGCCAAGCAAGGGGCACTGCCGCAAGCAAGCACTTCACAACAGTGGTCGAGCGTCAGGGGTTCGGGGAGAACATCTGGAGTAGGCTTCTTCTGCTGATTCGATATGTCGGAGGGGCTTCTCTTCCTCTTTGCCAGACATTCCCGAGCCTCGCATACCCAGCTAGGTGGGTGGCAAAGCTGGCTCAAGGGCCAAGGGTCAAGGCTCAGAGGTTTGTGTGCTAAGGCTGCTACTGGTTAGGGACTTAAAGTCTTAAAGGTCAAGACTTGTCCTGATGTCGGGACTGTCCCTGAGGATCGTTCTTCTCAGCAGGCGGCGTGGCTGTATCTTGGGGCTCAGCTTGTGTGGAGGAAACGGCGGGTCACAGGTTACTGCAACTTGAGGCATAGGTTTCATCTCCAACCGACCACGCACCAAGAACCTCGCCCAGCACTTCAAGACACCGCTAAGGCGGGCACGGGACCATTTGGAGAACACCAGCAGCGAAAGCTTCGCGCTGGATTTGAGAAGGTGGGCCGCCGTCATGGAGGCAGTCGGCATCCATGCAAGGCTATAAGCAGGCAGGCCTACAGGGTTTGAGGATTCGTTACGTATGCTGTCTGGCACGTGGAGAGTGGAATTAACCAGCGATACTGCGACAGCTTTCCAGTCGCAGAATGTATCACGGGCGGTGCTGGCAGGCCTATGAGAATGGCGGCCACATGTATCACACAACAATGCCCACGGATGCTATCACCAGATTTCGCTGGATACTCAGCCGCCGGTGATGCCTTCGGGCCTGAGCTCCAGTCAAAATGCATGCTGAGTGTCTTCAGGCGACGTGCAACAAGAGCTGGCAGCCTATGGTTTTGAGCGCTCACGGAGTGAGCAGGTGAAGCTAGGGGCAACCTGTCCGCAGCATGTACTAAGGTGGCAGACGACAAGTCAAGCTCTGTCATGTGAGAATAAGTTTGATTTCGACATGCTAAGGATGCCGTGCGCAACATGCTGAAGCGTTACGGTGCCAAGCTGGGTCAATTTCCTTGATTTGGCTTCGACAAGTCGGGCGCAGTTCATCAGCATGTTCTCTTGCTCGCAGGCTTCAAGAGCGTAGCTGCAGAAGGATATGCTGCTCCCGGTGTCATTGTCGCCTACACGAAGGATCCAGATATGAAGTCTGGAGCACCTTGGCAGGCTCTTGCAATGACTCTCGGAATTCGACCATGTGATCTTAGAACCGGTCACATCGCCTGGCAGTCTAGCAACACCAGTCGCATCATAGCAGCCCTTTGCCTAGGCCAAATTTGCCGCGTTGGGCATCCAGATCGCTGCTGGAGTGCTCCTTGTTGCAGAAGTGTGAGAGTTGCTCGTGAGCGCGCCTCCACATCAGAAGGCTTAAGCTTGTTTTTGCTTGTGCTCCGTCCCCTTCCCTGTATTGACGTATTTGATCTCTATATGCCCTGGCAAAGTCGTGGGACAGCTCAAGCCAAGGCCGTTGATGGTAGACGAGTTCACGCAGTCATCAGAGTTTCAGACCTTTCGTCTGGGCTTATTTGGCATCGACAAGTTGCGTCAGCCAGCAGCAAAAGTTGCCGGCCGCTGATTGGGAACACCAGTGACACTCTTGAGTGAGACCAGGCGCAATCGACACAACCACTGCACAGCTCGAGCTGCTTGCCGGCACTGGTTCTGTTGCTGTTGCATCTGCCTGCGCCGTCCTGTCTTCTTCCGAAGTGAAGGAGGGCCATTTCCAACATATACCACCGTGCAACTCCCGCCGTCATGTCAGCGCGGCTTTGAGCCTGGAGCCTTTGCTTCACGTACGTGCCGAGGGTTTTCCACAAGCAGTTGCCGTTTTCGACTATCGTTCATTGTCATACATATGAGGACCTCGCAGGACTCGCTTGGGTCTCGGGGCCTTCACCGTGTGACCGATCGGATCCTCGAAGCTGAGGGTTGAGTCGGCCTCTTTTGGAAGTGTATAGATTGTACCGTGTACAGCAACCTTTGCCTATCTTTGCCTCCTGGATGCTGCGCCCAAGATGTACAGTGTTACAGACATGAGGGGCCAGTGCCCGTCTGTTCGAGCAAATTCGCACCCGATGCGGGGCTGTGGGGTACGTCTTCAAACTGCTGCGATGCAACGCATGCACGCCTTCTGTAACTCTTCTCCTCCTTACGGGCGGTGGGACTGGACTGCACGGTGGAGGGCAAGCTACCTGTAGATGAGTGTACATAGTCAGCAGGTGAATTACCTGCTCCGGCCTCCGAGATTCCCTTCCGCGCAGCCAGCAAATTATGTGGGATGCATAGAGAAAGCTCAGCATGATTGCAATTCGGCACACCCTGGCAACACAGGTGGAAAGCCTGCACACACAAAGGCCAGGCTGGCACCGCATCAGATTGTGCAAGATCGCTCTGTACATGCCATGCAATAGCCAACAGCCGGCAATTACTCACGCTAAAGCTTCAAGCCAAACATCCTTGCCGCGAAATCGAAGTATTTAAACTTGCTTCGTCAGGTGGTTGCACCGCTGACCGACGTCATTGCTCCAAATGCGAGTGCCGCAGACATATGGAGCACAGAGTGCCGCACCTGGCTTTTTCGTTTCGGAAAGTACATATGCAGAATAGTGGCAAGCAGGATGCAGAAACCAAAGTGTGGCCGAGGGAGTTGCTTCAGTCGCTAAGCGACTCCAACTCTTCAGAGGCGCCGTGTTCGCCACGACTCGTTGCATTTCCACGCACTGCCGCACTGCTTGCATGATCCTATCCCCATAGAATCCTGAAGCACTCTGCGCGGCAAGTCCAATGTGCAGGATTTCATGTCTCAGAGAGTACGCACTTTCTGGTTACCATGCGCGTATCTACTCTTGTGCACTAACATACACAGATGTCAGCTTGTATGTGCATAATTAATGTAGGTCTGCATGCAGAGCAGAGCACTTTAACACGAGCGTTGTGCAGGAAGGCATGACAGTGATGCATCTGACACAGCCATGTCTTGCCAGAAGTATCCTTTGAATGATGCCGTTCGTGGCCTGTCGTACCACGGCCACTTATCACGCAACAGCAGCATTTCACGACCAGCACCACTTTGCCAAGAAGTGTCCGGGTCCGAGAAGATACAAGAGTAGTCCCAAAGAGACATTGAAGGGCGTGGAAGGGTAAGACGAAACCGGGCCAAAGCTGTTGCATTGTCCATACTCATGGCAAGCATGCATGGTGCAGCCAAGGATTAAGCCTGGAAGATACGTTTACGCAGATCTATGCCACGGGTGCCTGGGGCAAGGGCTCAGGCGCAGGCAGTTTGCCTGTACACTGTTTGAAGTGGATGCTTGGTGCATTCTGAGCATAGGCCTGTCATGGAAGTGCTTGTCGAGAACTGTCGGAGTTAAGAGACAGATTTTTCGCCTTTTCACTGACCAAGGATAGAGTTTCTACGAAAATTCATCAAGGAGCATCAGGTTAAGAGTGTTGTCGACCTGGGCTGCGGCGACTGGCAGTTCTCACCGTACATCTACCACGATCTCGGAGTAGACTACGTGGGGTATGATGTGGTGCTGCCCGTGATCGCCGAGAACCGCGCGCGGTGGGAATGTCAAGGATTCAACTTTGAACATTTGGAGTTTTCTTCGCATGTGGATGAGATTCAAGATGGAGAGCTCTACATACTGAAGGATGTGCTCCAGCACTGGTCTTCACAGCGAATCCGCAGCTTTCTCAAAAAGCTCCTTGCGAAGCCCAGCTTGAGGTTCATCCTTGTATGCAACTGTGCAGAACCGGAGGACTGGCCTGATGAAGATATTTTGGATGGTGGATGGCGTCCTTTGAGTTCGGCGAAGCCACCTCTCAACGAGTTCGATGCGCAACCGTTGCTCAGGTTCCCATCCCTTCCCAACCTCAAGGAGGTTTGCATCATATCTCCTGCGCGCAAGCGGCATGACTTCCCGCAGAAAGCTGTGGCTGCCTGCACAGGAACATTTAGAGCTGGTGTCGTGTGCAACTTCGCTGGCCGGCGTGCGATGCATCCGGTTCGAAGGCGAAGGTTCGACATGGTCTAGGCCCAACCGCAAAGGCCCAGACCTAGAGCAGGCAAAAAGCGCGTCACCTCGGCAGAGTTCATGCCAGAGATGGAAATGGAATCACTGTCAATAGAATAAGCTTCACTCCGGGTGACAGCATCAGGTCATGGACAAGCCCCGTCGTTCCTGAACAGCACGTGTGGTAGAGTCCGATCGAGTGCAGGAAGTGCTCCAGACCTTCCTCGGCTCGGGCCTTCGGGGAGGGGCAGCCCAGGTGACAATCGGATCTTTCTAGCATGCTCAAATGGCTCAATCTTCAATTCCTTCCACGACAGCCCTGCAAACTGCCTTCTCACCAAAACCTGGCACTGGCAAAACATGGCAGAACTCATGAAGTCAGTTAGTGGGCAGTGTCGAGTCCGTTTCAGTCACACTTCCAATCTGGGCAAACTGGCTGCCTCTACTCTGCTACATCAAGCATGCCAGCTAGTCGTTGTGTTTGTTATTTTTGTTGTCCACATCATGAAAACAGCATCTGTTGCCTGTGGGTAGCTCTCTGGCGTGATGAGTTTGCATGTCCCCCGCGCCACTGGATTCGTCGGGACCTTATCTCAGGCCTCAGGCACTGATGTTTGGGCGAAGGAGCAAAGTGACACAAGTTCAGATGGGCCATGATGAGCCCAAGGTTTGTTCCCGATGGGCGATCTCGGGCTGTTCTCCGGCACAGCACGACGCCAGGATGTGTTGCGACAGAACGTGCAATGCTGTAGCACATGCCAGAACTACTGCAACCTTCCCGCTGCAGAGAGTACTGAGTACGAGCCACAGATGTGCAAGACATTCTTGTTTATTCCCTTTTGGGCCTGAGTCTCCAACCTTCCTTTATTGAAGCGGAGCTTAGGAAAGTCATTGCCAGCAGGGCACGTCAGAGCCAATGGGAAGCTGCCATTTCCGCTCTCGCGAGCATCACAGATCAGGACAGAATTCAAGTCTGGGGATTGGGAAAAGCCTTCCATGATGCCCATACTGGGCGAGGGTCCCAGTGTCCGTTTGAGAAGGAAGTCGAAGCCGACAGCATCATGTACTGTGCGGCTCTCGGTGCTTTGGACGCTTGGCTACGAGGCATCACGACATAAGACGTGCTTCTTCTGCTCCCTGAAGCATCGAAGGCAGGCGTGTGTTGCGAGTGGTAGCTGGTATCTGAAGAAGCCCGTCGACTGTAGCAGCAAGCTTGAGGAGCGCGCCGTTCGCTGGGAGACAGCACTGGCCATGGCAACCAGCCTGCGAAAATGCTGTCTCTAATTGTGAAGGCTTGGCGGGTCGTGCATGCCTCGTGTATGTGCTTCTATATAATCTTATGGTGCGAAATGTCCAGTCGGGCCAGCGCAACACCGAGCAAAACGGTTGGGTTTGCAGACGCAGCATCGTCGGGCGACCGAGGGTGAGGAAAACACACAGACAGGCATGCAGAAGTAGGAAAACGAGAGGGAAAGCCAAGTGAAATCAGCGGAATTCGAGCACCTCGAGATTCTGGTTGGGGCCCACGCGAACCTTGCTCGAGCTGCAAGCCACGAGACACCGACATACAACCTCAGGTATTACAAGAACCTCTGGGGTTGTGACCGGAAGCCAGTGCAAAACCTGCTTTGCTTTTTTCCAAACCGTCACACCGACAATTTTCAAGGAGAGGCCAAGCGGGGCTGAGCTGCTCCCCACCATTCCAATCCCTTGATTGAAAGGCACCACCCAAGCAGCGGTCTCACCTCCCGATGCAGGTTGAGCCACAGTGACTGTGGAAGGTCAACGAGGGATGTCTCAAAGCCTATCTACCTCCAAGCGGTGTTGGTGCAAGATTTCCATAGGCCGCAGTAGCTTTTAGGTCGTGTCAATGCTCAGGACACCTTTCGTGCAAACTGGAGTGTTGTGTTTGCAAGCTACTCTTTCGTGTTGTATTACTTTGAGAAGTATTACTGTTTGTGAGTAACAGATGAAGAAGGCTGTCAACTGTAGCTATGCATGTAAGTCACGGGCCATGATCAGCTCCGTCAGTTTGAATGGGGGAACAAGCACCTGCCTCAGATTTGGTCGGTTCATATTATTCTTCTAAGGGCTTCTCGATTGCAGTGTTATTGTTTTCATCGGACAAAGGCAGGCAACAAGCTTTCCCCATGACTGGTAACATTTAGCGCACTCTCTCTGAACATAGGGGGGCCCCTGCATAGTTCCGTTGGTCTACTAACTTGGTACTGAAACTTTCCCACTATCCATCTCGAGCAACGTGATCGTTATCGATACAGCAAACCACCAGCGCCCTGAGAGATACCAAATTCGTGCATCCAACAGTCAGGTTCCCGCTCTTCCAACCTCATCCATGTTATCTTGACCTTTGTCGATGAGCAACCTTCTTGGGGCGGAGACCTTGTCTTCGAGAGTATACATGCATCCTTGTTTCCGTTATGGTATGCTATATGGCATGTGCTTGCGGATGCATTATGCTCGTACTACACGCCATGTGTGGGCATGCTGCCCGGGGGTCTTGACCGACCCCTATGCCCGGGAGGGAGGGAGCGAGAGAGAGATCTGCCCTTTATGTCGTATGCCGTCTTTCATCTGGATAAAGTTGCCTTGGTTGTGCCTTTCGTCGTTCCAGCCCCTCCACAACGGTCGGGGGCGCCAAGAGCGCGCGGGCCAGGGGGGCAACCCCCGAGCCCGGAACCCTGGCGAAAGAAAGAGGGGGGGCGGGGGGCATCCGGCGCTTTGAGACCGGAGAGTTGACGTAACACGTGTCCGAATGAGTCCTTTTTGCAATAGGCTTATGCGCGTAGGGTCCTCTGGGTGGATGGCGGATAGCCAACGGATGACAGTAGCGCAGACAGCTGGGGGGACGTGGGGAAGAACGAAACCTTTGGCCCTCGTTAGCATGATTTGTCTCTAAGGTTGTTGCTTCCTGTTGTCGTTTCTCCTAGCAAGGTCGGTAGGACCCGGTAGGACCATGCCGTGTCGCGTCAGCTCTTTCTACTCCAAAACAGCGCGCGCACTCGCGAGAAGGGGAGCCTGATGCAGCCTTGCTCTGACACCAAAAAGGGCCGGACATGGGCGGGCTGCGATGGGAGAGGAATGGGGAGCAGTCCAATCACTTAACGCTAAGAAGTTCTGCAAGTCCACGGGCCAAGATCGCACTGGAGCACCCGGTGTGCAGGCATTTCCGGCTGTATGAATCTTGTGCCCCTGAGAAGAGAGCATGACAAAGAAAGGACAGCCAAAGCCACAAAAGGACCGTGGGGCAAGTTTGAGTAGGTGATCCCAAGAACTCAGGTTCAAAGCATGCAGCGAAGTGCGGTGGAGATCTACGATCATGGGCTGCCACTCGCCCTAACCTTTAGAGGCGTGCTGCAAGTGAATGTGAAGCTTTTATGCCGTCCGGAGGTGGTTCTAACATCGCTCCACATGTTGTCAGTTGATTTGATCCTTTGCCAGAATGCGGGTGCGAGAATCTAGAACCAGACCTTGGAAGCTGAAGCCGGGATGCGATGTTGGCGAGGCAGCGGTAAAGACAAGTCACAGTGCGTGACTGGTGTCCGAGCGAAAGCATAAGAATATGCTGGGTGCCGGCACGTGTACACCAAGCACTCTTGAGGCGTGGGTCATTCGCGGTTGTTCGTGCCGAGCCTCGATCGAGAGAGTCCGCGTGGACGCAATCTGAAAACGGTCCCACTAGTTTCGCCACAGCTTGCCACGGCCTCCAAGAGACAGGACACCGAAAAACAAAAAATGCATTTGCAATGGCAGCGGATGCTTGGGAGTTCCTGTCTGCTTCCCTAACTCAGTACCATGAGCACAGCACGGTTTGCTCATGTCTGCCAACAAAAATGCTGTCCAGGGCTTAGAGCCTGATCTGGATAAGGAATTACGTGGCCCTCACCTGCAAAAAAGCGGGCGAGTGGCAGCGCCTTCTTCGTCTCTTAGTGCCTTGGTTGAATTCTTCTTTGCTTTTGAAGAGCTGAGGCCTGCTGTCCGTCTGCACTAAATGCACTAACGGTCACTGACGCATGCAGCTCGCTAGCGCCGAACGAAGTCATGTTGAGCCCGAGAAGTTGCAACCGCAGGATGCCAATTCTTGACGCTTGGAATCCCCTCATGTACTATGGAGGGTCTAGCGTCCAGGACCCAGGGTCCCGAGAGCGCAGAGTCTGAAATCCGCGCTTCGGCATGTTAGACCCTCACCGCCAGGCGGACGCCGGACTCCCGCGAAAAACGCTTGACAGAAACTGGTTTTAAGCGCATAGCTCCCGGTTCGTACTGTTCGCTGCTTTAGCATATGACCAGACGGAATTATGCACCGAAATGGATGTGGGCTTTGTGCCTTGCGGTGCCTTCTCGTGAAAGTCGTTCGACAGATATTGGCTTTAAGCGCATGGCATCCGGCTCGTACTATGCACGGTGTAGCGTATCACCAGATTGAAATTATACAGGTCAACCAGCACTGAAATCGATGGGAGTTTTGTGCCTTGCGGTGCCCTCTCGTGAAAGTCGCTTGACAGAAATTGGTTTTACGTTCGTACTATTCACGGTCTAGCATATCACCAGATTGAATTACAGGTCAACCAGCACCGAAATCAATGTGAGTTGTGTGCTCCGCAGTGCCTTCTCGTCTTCTCGTGAAAAATCGTTCCACAGAAACCGGTGTTAATCGAAACCATGTCGGCTTTACCAGAGGTTTCCCGGCAACGAAACCCAGGAGCATGTGAAGGTCCTCGTATGAGGTGTGAGTTGAGCGACGGCCTCGTGAGCGACATGGTTTCCAAGAGCCTCGTAGGACCGTAGGAGATGTGAGGCGAGTGAAACCGAAGCAGAGCCGAAACAAAACGAATCCAGAAGCGTCAGGCGACAACCCGAGATGAGGCATGCCAAGCAAAGCAAAGCGTCCCAACACAAACCCAGCTCAGCCCGGAATCGCATCGACAAGAAATTGAACGTGTTGAACGATGGAGAAAAGCCTTGGCACCAGAACGGCAAATCACACGCGGACACTGAATCAGCGGGTACCGATCCGAAACCGATATTGACTCGATAGATCAAACGGACCGGAGAGATTCAGGATTCGAGCGAAACGGATAGAGACCAAAACAGAGCCGAAAACCAGGACAGAGGAGGGAGCCAAGCCGGACAAGGAATATAATTGCGTAGCATGCACAAGGGAGCCAGAACGGGAAGGAGAAGGAAAACTCACCGAACCAGTGCCGAGCCGCAAAAAGGGCCGAACACAGACCTCCCGTGGATATTGGACCCAGGGTTTTGGGTCTAACATGCGGCCCCTGGGTAGACCCTATACAAAACCTGAGGGGATCACTTGGACGTAGCAGGGCCAGTAGAACATGGGCATTTAATATTGAAGTGGTCGGGCAGGATGCCAAAATCGATTGAGTGGTTCCCGATTCAGGGCGATGCAAGAGCTAGTGGCAGGATGTGGTAGTTCATGTTGCTGTCTTGAAGCTTGCTGTGGTAGCTTGGTGCCAAATCTAAAACCTGGGGTATGACTATGCAGTCGACGTAAGCTGTTGTAACGTAGTAAGTTCATGGATGGTAGATGCCTTTGCGTGCGGCGTGGGCCAGAGTTCCACGGAGCTTGTAATGGCTGCGAGGTGTCACCTTTTCGAGGTGTTGAGCATCCTGCACATGAGGCGCGCAGCGCATGCACAGCAGATTTCTGCAGCATGTGCGCCGGAGGTGGCCTTCACCGCTGGATTGGAAGCCTGCCGTACACGCTGGGCTCAGGCCTTGTGAAACTGGCAAGTGCGTACAACATTAGACATTAGATGCACTGTCTCGAGGGTGACAAAAAAGTGAAACGGCCAGCAAAGGCATAGCCCATGCAACAGCCCAGTAACTGTGTCGCTCCATTCCCAAACTTTCCTTTCCAGGGCCTGAGCTTGTTGCGCTGCTTGGCAAATCTTCGTGCAGCCCCGGACCGCTTGGATAGCAAGTGCGACAGCAGTGAATAGTATCCTGGCTTGCGCCCTTTGCACGAGACAAATAGCCGTGGCAATTCGTTGGTATGGTGGATCAGTGCCCGGCTCGCAAACGGGCTTGTTATATGTGTGCCGGCACGAGCTGGGCGCTCCAGGATGCGACAACATTGTCCGCAGCGGTCGCTGGCCTTCGTCCCTCAGCTTAAAGCAGCCCCTAACCACCATAATGTTGAGAAGCCTCGCCGTCTAATTGTCCTTCCGACGTTAGTCCGGTAACTGCGCCGGCCTGCAGCGCACCGCTTAGGACGAGCATGCAAAGGAAGTCAGCAGTTTTCGCCAGAACACGTGCGTTGGGCCTTGGCCCATGTGTGCCTCAGTTGGCCATTGATCGCATCTCAACGAGACGGAGCTTGGATCGGCCTTAGCCTTTGCTGCGAGAGCCAGCGTGCATCCCCTGGCCGCCGTAGGTACGAGCACACATGACCGCAGTCCATGCGTCGGTTCGAGCACATATCTTCATCTGCCATGTTCACGATTTTGTCCTAGCCACGCCACGAAAAGTATAAATGCGCAAGACAGCAACTTCCGTATCGAAAAGTTGCGTCTATGGTTTTCGCACACTGAAACGCTCTTGGTTTCTGAACAGGTTCCCGGAAGCCGCGACTGCACTGCTAACGAGGTCCACGTGAAAAAGACTTTGACCCGTGCCCGTGCAGGCCATGCATGAGCTAGCCGGAGCGGGGAATGAGCACCATCGAGGGCTTTAAAGCCGCCCGTCAAGCTTCGCCCACTCCGCATGGCCACTCCGACAAATACCACTGCTTTGCCACCTGCAGGTAGGCATACCCAGGCTCTTGAAAAGAGCTCGGTAACTTTGCCCCATGAACCCAGTGTGCGCAAACCAAGCCTCGTCGGAGATACCCCAGGGACCAAAAAGCCCAAGCGTGAGCCGAAAGACGAGACCATGCTTCCGGAGGGTGCTTTGCCTGTCGAGCCCGGAGACTCCACTGGGACTGCAACACTTGAGGATGGGGATGGGGATGTTGACATCCCACATTGACCTACATTAGCTCAGGTCGCAGCACAGGTACCACATTTTTGATCTCACAGATGAAGATGATGAGGCTGCTGTTGCCAATCAAGGGGCTACCTAGGTTGACGACCCGGCCGATTGACTAGATCGAAGCTCCCTAACCGGAAGCGATGGTAGGCCCCAAGCTGAGGATGATGTTGCCAACTCAGAGCCAGGGAATAAATCACTGCAAGCCCAGAATTTGACGCATGTGTGCCATTGTTCTAGGATCAAGCGCTTCTGTGACTTACGACATCTTACGAATCTTACGACACTGACGATGTATGTCCTGAACGTTCAGATATGTTCAGGCCCGACGTACAGGGTCACGAACCACATAGCGCCTGACACGTCTTGAAGCCAAGTCGGCTTCTGTAGCAACAGCGGAGCAGCTCTTCAGCCGTGCGGGCTGTCACCCAGGCCAGGCTGCTGAATGGCAGCACGCGCTTGGACAGAGTGTTTGGAATTGCTTGAGGGCGCCCTTGCTCAGCCTGTGCATGCCTGAGCCTATTTTACCTTGTCTTGAAGGACTGATGCGAGAATGCTTCCAATGCGGACCGGAGCCGGATGCTGCCCTGTGCAACGCGGTTGCGACAGCTTGTGAAGCACGCCAGGCCGGTCGTGTCGACGTCGGAGTTCGGGATGTAGCTAGCAGCTAGATGCACGTGTTTGCGTTGACAACACGTGTGTTATTTCCCTGGCCAAGTTGCGCTTTTGGTCCACAGGTTGTTTGGTACAGGCAACATCGCAAAGGCAACGGGATTTTCGAAGATACCTTTGCTGAGATTCTCGATGTTGGAGAAATTGTTTCTCTCGCAAAACAACCGGGTTTTGCCGTTTTTGCTTTGATGCAGGAATGGTGTGGGCATGGATTCTGGACTATGGTTTTGTAATTCTATTTTTGGGATCAGGCTGTTATCTCAAAGCCCGCATGTCTGGCCTTAGAAATCCGCATTTCCCCAAATAGAATGCAATCACACTTTTACGTTCACAGGTTGCTTGGCGCAGGCAGCCTCGCGAAGGCAACGAGGTTTTCGGTGGTGAGATTGTCAATGTTGGAAAGAATGTTTTCCTCGCAAAACCAAACCGGCAAGACCGAAACTGACCGAAGGCGGTACGGCAGGTGGTCGAGGACCATCACGCGCCCCGCACGCGCTCCGCGAACGCTCGTCTCCGGTCGCACGCGCTCCGCGAACACGCTCCTCGCGGTAAGAACCTGAACGAGAACCCAACATCCGAGATGTTTTTGGGAACAAAAAAACAGCTGACCCACCAGCTCTGCATGCGCAGAGAAAGCAAGAAACTGAAGCGTCCTGCCACTGCGCCTCACAACCACTGCAAGTGGAGTTCAGTCATCGTTGCTGAAAAGATGCACTCAGCAAGGCTTCCGACAAACATGTCGAACATGGCACGGGCGGCAGCTGGCAAATGGCATGCACAAACGGTTCCTACATGATGATCTTGCGATAAAGCAGTTGCTCAGCAGTCTCAGTGTACTCCGTTTGGCACTCGGGGACTGCCGGTTTTGTTAAGCTTTTACTAAAGTGTACACGCCACTCGCTCGTGGAATAGCTCACACAACGGTGGCCTCTGGTTTTAACAGTTAACAGCAAGTCTGGACGGTTTGAAAGTGGTAACAGCGGCATGAGCCACTCGATCTTCTTGGAAGAAATCGAGAGTCTCAAAGCCCAACACCGGTCAAATCACATCTGTTAGGTATCTGACTAGCTAACTAGCTGTTACGAAGCATTACAATTAGGACGGGGCCCAGCAGGACCCAAACATGATCAAAATTGAAGAGCACGTCGCAACAGGAAAAGCCCACAACTGGCAGTGCCGCGCACAGAGGAAAATACTTCCAGACAGTTTCTCCTGTTAGCACGTCACAACAGGAAAAACCCAGAACCAGGGCAACATGCTTCCAGACAGTTTCTCTTGTTAGCACGTCGCAACAGGAAAAACCCACTACTCGCAATGCCGCGCACTGGCGCGCACCGCGCACAGGGCAAAATACTTCCAGACAGTTTCTCCACGAACAGGAAAAACCCAGAACCAGGGCAAAGTGCTTCCAGACAGTTTCTCCTGCTAGCACGTGGCAACAGGAAAAACCCAGAACCAGGGCA